GGACCAATCCTGAAAATCGAGATATTTAATGTTGGTAGAGGTCCAATAGCCCCGATGACGCGGGAATGCATTCCTATTCTTTTTTAACTGAATTCCAAGAACCCCAATCATTCTTTTAATCTGGCGCCCTCCATTTCTTATTCTGGCGAGGGGGAGGGGGGGGATGGGGGGCCCAAATTATTCAGATCCTCGGATTAAGGTTTAGCGTTTATAGCGTTTATAGGGTTTAGGTTTTCGACCGTACGCTGGGGGCCTCTGTTGTCGGTATGTATATGCAACATGATATGTATCTATGAAATGTGTAACCTGGGTTTGACATTGCCCTGAGCAGCATTCGAAGGATGAAGCCCCCTTCCGCTGTTTCACGGCCTGGAGTTCTGCTGGAACCAAAGAAAGGGAACCTCCCCGTATCATCGCCCCCCCTCCCCCCCCCCTCACCCCCCCAAAAAAAACATGTGATTTTGCATATGGTTCTCAATCACATGGGACATAGATATCCCTATATAATCCCTAAGTAACCCTATAGAATCCCTATAACAACTTTAAAGAATCCTATATAACCGTATATAATCCTCATATAACCCTGCATGCAGCTGCAAGAAGAACGACGGCCACATGTGGTCCACCATCCTGAACCTTAAGCCCCAAAGCCTAGGATTCCACCTCTCCCTCCCTAAGCCCTAAGCCCTAGACCCTAAGGTTTAGGTATAGGGTTTAGGGTTTAGGGTGCGACAAGCCCACCTGCTCCACCATCCTCGCGGCGGGGCTATCGGCATCCCGTGTGCTCTCGGCTTCCCGAGTGCTTTCGGCTTCCGCCGTGCTCTCCGCTTCCCGAAGCTTGCTGGGCTCTACAACCTGGCTTAGAGTTTAGGCTTTAGCGGTTCAGGGTATGGGTTTAGGGTGTTTGGTGCATGGGTTTAGGTTTTAGTGGGGCTTAGGAGTGAGCAGGTTCAGAATGGAGATAGCTGGGATTATTATGAGGGTCCTTGGCGTTACAAATATACTTGCGAAGTCCCCCTGGCCTCCAAGTAGGGTTAGGGAATGGTGGTTGGAGTATTGTGGACAAAGAAATGGCACATCTGATTTGGAAGGACCTACATGAAAGTTTTGGGTGTATGGGAATATTGCTCATTTCCAAGGGAGCTTGTTCGCCCCAACTCCGAAATTAGGACTCCACGGCTCCCATAGGAATATGATAGGCTCCCACTTCGGGGGTTTCGCGTTATGAACGTTACTCATGAATCATGAAGGAATGTAAAAAGGAAAAGGGCAGCTACAGTGCTATAACACTTGCGAAATTTGAATAGTATTGTAAACCCTAGCTCAACAAGAAATCATACTTAGTTTGCGCGGAATATTGAGGAAGGGAAGCCGCATCACGGGAATGGAGCTTAGCTAATGGATGAACTACTTAACCTGCGATGCGTTCACAACCTGAAATTATGAGTTGAAAGCATGTTAATTATTTGAAAGCAATTTACCGCCATGATAAATCACCATTTGGGCTGAGGTCGGGTGAGGTCATTGTATTTCACACAAAATCCAAGCAGCCCTGCCTTAGTGGTATACTGGGTTTTGGGATAAGTCCCCCAACAACCTCTCTCAGGTCTCCCTAAACCCCGAAGCCGGAGCTTTGCCAAGGGGCTGCGGTGAAAACCTCCAACTCCTTGACCTCAGCCTTTTGGGCCACACCTTTCACGGACAGCTCCAGGGTCGAATGCAAACCCTACGGGTCCAAGGACCCAAATAATGGGGTTTTAGGGTCCAAATGCCATGATCTGAATGGTATTTGGGCCCTAAAGCCCTATTATTTGGGTCCTTGGACCCTTAGGGAAAGGGTTTACCCAAAGGATCCAGGTTTTAGGGGGGAGTCTAACGTTTTAGGGTTGTGCTTAGGATTCAGGATCCTGCAATCTCAGGGTAAATTAGGACATCGCTTCTGTTGGACACAAGCGCCCCTATCAGCGAAAAACCTGCGGGCAGCAGGCAACCTGACAATGTAGGTGATCACTGGATGCTTGGTAATACTGCGCAGTTGTCCATTTTCTCCTGCTACATCTGCCCCCACCCTATGACTGTCCCCAGAGAGTGCAAATTATGGTAGAACTATACGAATCAGGTCCTGTGTTGTAGGGTGGGGAAGTAATCCCGCTCCCCTACCCCCCTTTTTGGGGGAGAGACTGCATGATCTTCTCATTGTCCCTGCTGCTGCTCCGTCAAACTGCACTGCTGGTAGCAGTACCCCCCTCAAATCCTGAAACCCCTCCACTGCTAAACCTGTGAAACCCTAAAACCCACTCAAACCCCAAAGTTGCACAACTCGGAGCCCGATTTTTGCGAGCGCAGCCTTCGCTTGGCTCTTTGGCAGGCTCCTGTGTCATGCTGAGAATATGCTAAGCGCTCAGGAACTGTTTTAGACTCTACTCGAATGGGGAGTGTAGGAACTAGATCAAGTAACTTTCATACAAGATCTTTGTAGAATTCAGAACTATCTCCGTTTTGGGCTTGCCGAGGAAATTTGGAGTTGTGGTCCGTATTCCAAAGCGCACTGTAGGCAATATCAAACATGGCGTAATCCCCTCAACTTAAACACAGAACTCCACACCCCCGTGATAAAAAAAAAGATATTCCTAATCCAATATCACAATATGTGCCCATGTGTATATACGTATGTGGTATATCTACATCTCGGGGAACTCTTATATGCACATTTAACACGCCGGGAGAAGATACATGCATTGATATGTGCATGTACACACACACAGCCTTGAAGAGCATTTGTCACAGTGCGCATGTATGTATGTGCACAGATACATATACATACACATGCATATACTTATACATATGCGCATACATGCATACATACACACACATACATACATACATACATACATACATACATACACACATGCATGCATGCATGCTTGCTTGCTTGCTTGCATGCATGCATGCATGCATGCTTGCGTACGTACGTGCATACTCACATACATACGTACGTACATACATACACACATACATATACGTACACATACACATACACATGCATATACACAAGCATGCATACATACATACCTACCTAATTACCTACCTACTTACATGCATACATACACACATACATACATTCATGCATGCATGCATACATCAATACATACATACATACATGCATACATACATACATGCAAGCAAACAAGCGTGCTTATACATATGTATATGTATACATGTACATGTTGAGAGAGAGAGAGAGAGAGAGAGATATATATATATATATGTATATATGCGTACACATTTGCGCGTGTATGTATGTATACCTCTGTATATACATACACGAATGCATATACATATATATATATATGTTTTTGTATATACATATACACACATAAAACATGACACCAAGGGAGTTTTTCTAGTGGTTGAACCAAGTAAGATTATTGTCTGATAAAACAACCATACCCAACATGATGATACAATCGTACTCCATATGGGGTACCGTCGTATCGCCAAATAAAATGCTACTCAAGGGGGCTTACTCTCCAAGCTCCTGCGAGGCAAAATCCACGCCTAGTAGCCAGGCAGCACGTCCTCGCGACAGAATTCTGAGGAAGAGGGTTTTCCTAACAATTTTGTTGCTGCTCCTATTACTATTACTACTTGTAATGTTACAGCTGCCATGATTGTTGCTACGGCTATTGCTATTGCCGTTGCTATTACTGTTAGTAGTAATGCCAGCATGGATTTCTAGCCATCTCTAGGTGTGAGTGTATTTGCACAAGCCAGAAAGATTTAGGATTCTCAAAATGCTATTGCTGCTGCAATTACTGCTGCTACTACTTTAAGTGCTACTACCATTTTTGCTGTTGCTATGACTATGACTGTTACTGCTGCGAGCCCTACGGGTTCCTAGGTGTGTATATGTATATGGGTTAGGAGGACCTAGGAGGACCCCCCACCCTGCAATAGTGATATACTGCGACTATAAGAGGACCTTAATATAAGTATCATTATCCCTTGTAGTCACTATTACTGGGTGGGGGGTCCAACTAATATATGGGGCTTATGGGTCTGACAGATGAGGGCCAGTTCTCAAAACAAAGCATCTCTGGTGCCATTACTACTGCTGCTGCTGCTACTACTACTACTACTACTACTACTACTGCTACCGCATTGATATTACTGTTGCTTGTCCTGATTCCACCATGGCATTCTGAGGGGTCTTTAGGGTTTCAAGGGACATATGTTTGTTTACCTATCTATGTATATACTGCATGTGGATCACGATGGGTTTGGACTTTGGATCATGCTCCCACATCTTCAAGCCTTAAACTTCGCAGGGTCGCTCCTAAAATCGGAATGTAGCGTCAAGAGGCTTTGGGACTTCGGGGCTCCCAAATTTTGAGACATCTACCGCATCGCTGGCTGGCGGTCCTGCATCTTTACCTGAAAGACACAGAAACCCCTTCTCTTGCGCTTGCCCCATGGGTGACGGCCACACAACAGCTGGTGCATTCAGCATGCTGGCTTCATTCCACTCTTCTACTGAGGCTTTTTTCTTGCAATTAGAACTTAGAACCGCTTCGCGTCCCCAAGTCATCTCAAGTCCAAGTAGTAGGAATGAGTAGCAGGCCCTTTCCACCACCCTTGCGTCGCCCTTTACCACGCCATACGGGCCTGGGCTGGCTGTAGGGGTTCGGGGCGCTAGACCTTGGGGTCGGGCCGAGGGTCCAGGATGTGCAAGGGCTCAGAATGTCTAGTCTCACCAGCAGAGTGTGTGGCGCGCATGCCGCTGTGTTCTGGGCTTTCATAAAACGTGTGCGTGATGACTGGACCTTGAAGTTGCAATAGCCGACACATGTCACTTCTCCCAGGCATAATTGCCTTTTCACAATTCTTATTTAACCCTTTTCCCTAAACCCTAAACTCTAGACTTGTGTTTAGGGTCCTGGACACCCAGTACCCTGAACCTCCCATTGCTCATTCTGCATGTTGGTGCAAGTTCTTACAAGAGCTTTGTGCCCGGCTGTGGCTGCGAGACAGCAGCCGTCTCCCCTGCAAAGCCATGTGTGGTTTTGCTCGACTAATGTGCATGCCTTTATAACTATAACCCAGTTCACAAGCCATCACGAATGAAACACCAACCCCCAATGCCTGCTGCTTAGCAGGGAATGAGGGAAAGGGACTCCCAAGACAGGGAATGTTTCATTCCCTCCTCCCCTATGCTGAGAAAAGACTGATTCAGCATTGCTACTACTGTTTTGCAACTTTTCTGCCATGACAGGTCGACCCTTTCCCAACACCTCAGCCTGAAAGTTGAAGCCTCCGCAAGTATGCCCGAAACATCGGTCCTGTTTGAACTCCCATTTAGAGATCTTATCTTCAACCCTTCACACACATATTATTAAACACCCCCACCCCATCCCTTATATCAAAATGTCCACCCCCACTATTTCAGGTTTCTCACAGGAATGTGTATCAGGGATTAGGGGTTTGCCATGTCAGTATGAGGGATTCGGTCCGGCCGGGCAACTTATCCAGAATCAGAAGCCGCCAGAAGGTGGACTCATTGGCTACTTTCCGAAGTAACATACCCGCTTCAAGGTCCGAAGGTTAAAGAAGGATTGTAGGGATTCTTCTTGAAGATTATGCGAGTTTTGTCAGGCAAAGGCATGCGTGGGGATGATTTTGAATGACATCCATGCAGGACACTGTCTAAGGATCTGATCTTTCAAATCACAGACTCAACCGCAGGGATGTGTCTTCCTTCCCACAATGCACTATTCAAACGGGGCGGAGTTTGGGCTCCAGTATAGACCACAATATACTATGCTATACTTCGTACAGGCAACCCCGTAGAAAGAGGCAACTGTTGGAAACCACGAAATAAGCTTCCTCCCGCCAAGCTTGGGCCCGCGCAGTGGTAAAGGCCAATCCTTCAAAACCTGAACCCTAAACGGGCGTATCCGAAGATTAGGGGTCCCTTTTCAAATCTTCATAACCAAGATTGTAGTATATGGGGGCCTATAACTGGCACCCTGATGTGCGGAAACTCCCAAATGAATACTGAACCATCAGCCCTAAACTGGTTTGCTGCTTAGGAGTTGAAAGGAAGTTACCATAGCACTATATATCTTATTATGGTAACTTAAATCAAATTCTTAACAGCAACCCAGTGAACCCCGGACGGCCCGCATCCCAAACCCTGTTTCCTCACATCCAGTGGTGCACCACAGCCTTGAACAGTTGGAGTCGGTTCTTGAATCTCTGTCTTCCTCGGCCAATTCGGCGGCTTGAGTTTCTTCATTCTTCCCACAGGGGCGTGAGGATGGTGTTTGGGGTTTGGGTTCCAAATCAGGACCCCGTGAAAGCCATGAAAGCTATAACATCTCATTGTCACCATGCCCAGAATCAGAAATAAACACCAATCAGGCCTCAACGCGAGGGCGCGAGGTACCATGACGTGAAGGTCTACAGGGTTTAGGATTAAAGCATCGACCCTAAACCCTACACTCTAAACCCTTAGCTTCCATCTGCCTCATGTGGGCTACACAAGAACCCTGCAGATCCCAAGTCATCTGGAAAACATAAACATTATTGAGCTCTTAGAAGTACAAGAAGAGGCTAGAGGATGGCATGCTTCCCGCAAATGCCGCAGGGACTAGAACTATGTGAATGGCCAGGTGCGGATTGCA